GTCTCCCAAGAATGAAATGTTCAAGTGAGGCCACGCTGGCTTGGCCAGGGCTATCTCTTCAGCACCTACATACTGGCAACTGAGATTCGATTAAGTGAGAATAGAAACGAGAAGGGACAAGCTTGAATGAAAGCACCAGAGAATGTAGGTGGAACAAAAAGAACTTCACAACTGCTACAGTCTGAATGTTTGTCCCCTCCAAAGCTCATGTCAAAGCTGGCTCCCCATTCATGAATTAATGGGTTAATGATTAATAGGTTATCATGGGAGTAGACTGGTGGCTTTATAAGGAGAGCAAGTGAGCACATTAAAACACTCTTGGTTCTTGCCATGTGATGCCCTGCACCACCTTGGGACTTCTTCAACAAGAAGTTAGACCTTACCAGATGTGCCCCCTGGACCTTGGACTTCCCAGCCTCCAAAATTGTAAGAGGTAAATTTCATTTCTTTATAAATTACCCAGTTTTAGGTATTCTGTTATAAGCAACAGAAAACGAATACAGCAACTAACTCAGGAGTAGGACACTGGGAGTGTGGAACATGTGTTTCAGAAATCAGAGGATGCCTCTGGCCCAGTGACCAAGAAATTTACCTGTGTGCAATCATCAAGCCACATCTGTGCTGGAAACCATCCCTGGTTCCCCACTTCCCACCAAAATGCACCATAAAGCCTTGAGCCTGGCAAACAAGACTCCAGTCCACCTTTCCCAACTCATTCGTTTGTATCACCCTGCCAGACAGTGTTCTACTAATAGCACCAACCCTCTTCCCCAAAGCCCAGAAATTCCAACCTCCTGCCTTTGCTCACAGCACTGCTCCCATTTGGAATGCTCTCACATTTTCTCCTCCTGCTAAAAAAATTCCACCAATACTTAAAGAATTAGGGGGTGGAGGGTCAGGCCCAGGGAACAATATGGCAGTCAGCTAGCTCTCTGAAGGCAAAGACAGTGTCCCCTCTGTCCTCATCTCCTTCATACTTCATGGAACAGACAGGGAAGTTGCTATTCAGCAAAAGGCAGAGAAAATTCCTGAAACCCCTGTCAGCTCTGCAACCAGAGAAATCAAACATAACTTGATAAACCGGGAACACTTTAATCCCAGCTTTGTTTTAGCTCTACCCTGCCAGATATCAACAAGGAGCAAGGAGTACAAACACATTTTCTCTGCCCCTAGCCAACCTTGGGCAAGGCAGGCAGAGACAAGGAGCCAACCTTCTCCCAGCCAAGCTTTAAACTTAGCCCTGCAAGGAATCAGCAGGCGGCACTGGACTCTGACTTGTCCAGCTTACTGTTTTTAGTCAGCAGGACTGGGTGTCCCAAGCTGAGTGCCAACAGGCCATGAGCTCATCAAATCCTCAAAGTCACCATGGGAATGGGGGCCAAGTGTCATGGTCCTCGATGCTTCCTCCCATGCATTCAAGGGACACAAAACGACCAAATCACCCCCTAAGACATCAGGATGTGGTACATTTGAAAGCAAGATCAAGGAACCCCCCCTGCCCCACCACCACCATCCCGGGAATTATCTTGAACAAGCAGCTGGCTGACTATTTCATCAGCTTCTTACAAATCTTAAATAAGTGTTTACTTTTTTTTTTTTTTTTTTTGTGATAGGCTGGTTAGGGGATCTGAACCCTTGACCCTGTTGTTATCAGCACCACGCTCTGAGTGAGCTAACCAGCTGGCCCAGTATTTACTTTTTTAGATAACTCCTCTTCACTTTACCTTCCAAATTTCACCCAGGTTAGAACTTGGCTATCCTACAGGAGCATCTCTTAAACCCATCCTGGATGTGGGTCACTTTACATGCAGCTATGAGCTCAAGCCAAGATCTCAGCCAGCCAGCCACCAAGATGAAGGAAGTCCCAGGGCCACCTTATCAAAACCCACAAGGCCCCACCCTCACACTGCCCATCCAGGTGACTGTCGTCAGACAGAGAAGATGTGGCTAGTCAGCCAAGGTTCCGGAGGGGCCTAAAGGAAGAAATTCTGCCCAACCCTCCTCCACACCCCAACTCTTGTCAAGGAATCATGACTGGCAAAGACCCAAAAGGCATAGAGAGACAAAGTTTGGGGAACAAACCGAACTCTCCTCAGAACTTCCCTTCCCCCCACCACATAGCTGGTTTCCCTCCCACCACACCCCTCTCACCCCTCCCCCGTTTTACTTTCTTTAAAGTACTTATTCACTATCTGAAACTCTCTTGTTTGTTCGCTTGCTGTTTTCCTCCCTCCAAAGGATCTTGGTTCCATGAGGGTAGAACAAACACATAACGTGCAGAGCCTGGCACCATGGGCCCCTTAATAACTGATGAATTCAATTCAACAAGTGAACCGTATTTGAAGGCCTTACTTTGTGCCAGGTGCTGGGCTGGCTCTACTGGGTGAAAAGATGGGAGGAGGGCAATCTCTTGTTTTAGCCAGGCTTGGCTGAATGAAGAAGCTAGCCAGGGGGTTGAGAGGCAGTCCGACGGGAGGACTCCAGCAGGAGACTGCTGCCGTTTCTCCCTCCATCAGCGCCCCCTAGTCCCCGGACCCTCCGCCCCGCGGGCACTGGCGCCCGCGCTCACCCGCTGCAGCTCGAGCTCGATCTCGCCGGCCTTGAGCACGATGGGTCCCCGCACCGCGTACTCTACTGCCTTCACTTGCGGGTTCATGGACTCCAGCGTGAGGATGCGCTCGCGCCGGCTGCGCTGCTCTGACTACGGCCCCGGGAGACCCGAGCCTGGGGGCAGCAGCCCAGCCGGACCAGCGCCGCCGCCCGCTGCATCGCGCGCCTGCCGAGGGAAACCTGAGCACAAGGAAAGAAAGAGAATAAATACGTCATGCATAGCCTCAGGCGGGCATCCGTCTCCCCCACAAGCCCAGTCAAGAGATCTTTCAGCGAGCGGTGCCAGCCTGGCCCCTGAGCTGGATGCCCATCCCCCGGCGACTGGGACCCTCCCACCGCGCCACTGCAGCGCCAAAGCGCTGCACAACTAGGCTTGGCAAAGGCTGAGCCCGATGCATGCATGCAACGTACCTATCGCCTCCTGGCCGCCCCCAACCTCCCCGGGTTAACGCGTGCGACTACAGCCGCTCCCGGGCTCTGGCGCCTGCGACCGCATCCCGGCACCCAGCGCTCGCACCGCCCGGCCCCCTGCGCTCGCACACCCACCGCCGGCGAGTCCGCCTCAAGCCTGCGTTCTGGCTCCTGGGCCTTGTAGTTCTCCTGGCTGTTTCAGAGCAGCTGCGGCGAGCTGGAAGAACCACAAATCCCTCAATGCCCTGCGCCGGGGCCGGATGGGGGCCGGCCAGGAGGTGGGAGTGGTCGTCTAGTTCTGCCCAGAGATGGGCGGGCTCTTTGCCGCGGCAGAGCGGGTGGAGAGGTGGAGGGGGCGGGGCAGGGGCAGTCTTCTCTGCCGCTTAGCAGTTTAAGTGTCCGAGCAAGAGCACGTCCTTGTGTTCTCATTATAAAGGCACCACTCCACGCCCATAATAACCCATTAACTCATTAATGGACTAATTAATTCTCGAGGGCAGAGCCCTCACGATCCAATCACCTCCTAAGGCCACACCTTTCAACACTGCCAGGTTGGGGATCAAGCTCCCACATGAGCTTTGGAGGGGNGCTTGGCAAAGGCTGCGCCCAATGCATGCATGCAACGTCCCTGTCGCCGCCTGGCCGCCCACCCCCCCCCCGGGACAACACGCGCGACCACAGCCGCTCCAGGGCTCTGGCGCCTGCGACCGCATCCCGGCACCCAGCGCTCGCACCGCCCGGCCCCCTGCGCTCGCACACCCACCGCCGGCGAGTCCGCCTCAAGCCTGCGTTCTGGCTCCTGGGCCTTGTAGTTCTCCTGGCTGTTTCAGAGCAGCTGCGGCGAGCTGGAAGAACCACAAATCCCTCAATGCCCTGCGCCGGGGCCGGATGGGGGCCGGCCAGGAGGTGGGAGTGGTCGTCTAGTTCTGCCCAGAGATGGGCGGGCTCTTTGCCGCGGCAGAGCGGGTGGAGAGGTGGAGGGGGCGGGGCAGGGGCAGTCTTCTCTGCCGCTTAGCAGTTTAAGTGTCCGAGCAAGAGCACGTCCTTGTGTTCTCATTATAAAGGCACCACTCCACGCCCATAATAACCCATTAACTCATTAATGGACTAATTAATTCTCGAGGGCAGAGCCCTCACGATCCAATCACCTCCTAAGGCCACACCTTTCAACACTGCCAGGTTGGGGATCAAGCTCCCACATGAGCTTTGGAGGGGACAAACATTCAGACCATACCAGCCTTTAAGGTCTCTTCCTGTCTTGGAAATTCTGTGAGACTAGGTATATTCAAGCAGGAATAGCCCAGAGCTCCTACACCCGACAGACACGCACACTCACAGGTGTGTAAAGTTGGGGGCAGGAGGCACTTAATAAAAACAGCACTGTGGGGGAGAAGGTTGCAGGAAATCTGGGTTTGAATATACGAGGGTACTTCAAAAAGTTCCTGAAAAGATTCATATTATCTTTCAATTCTATTTTTTCCACGAACTTTTTAAAGTATCCCTAGTAATTGCATACAGTCACTCACTGCTTATCTGACTTTGAGCATGTACGTTACTTGGCCTTTGTAAATCTATTTTCCCCATGTGTAAAATGAGGGTAACAATACCTGCCTCACATGGGGGTGTGGAGAAAGTTCAATGAGGTAACTTTGTAAAAGCCAAAGCTTGGCACCTAATGCTGTGAGTCACTCTTCATCCTTCTCAAGAGAATGCCACATACATCAATTAAATAACTTGATTACCAGTAAAGGGGGAAAAGGGGTGGGAACAACAGAAACCAAAGATATCTCTGGGTATTCCTTTGTTAGCAAACTGACTTGGCCCACTGAGGGCTTCGTAAAGTTACTGGACTTCTCATCTACTGGCTTCACTCCCAGCACCTGTATCTACACTATCTCCTTCCCAAGCCTCAGTCTCAATGGCCAGGTATTCAATCTCCAGGTGAAAGATTCTCCCACAGTGAGCTTAGGTCAACAGTGTCATGTTATCACCTTCTTTGCCCGGTAGGGAGAAATACAAACACCTCTCTCCACCTCCAAAACACGCTCAACCTTGACCTGCACGTAATGTAAATGTAGTCACTAACTGTCCATCCAGGGGTTGGTGCACTATGTTCTTCCTGTTATCTCCACCCCTGATCAGTAGGGACAGGCGAGCTGGGAGAGAGGGCTTAGAGAGGTGAGCACAAATCCATTTGAACAATGGGGAAAAACAACATCAGCCACAGCCAGCTCCCATGAGCTCCCATGTCATCATTGTAAAAAACAAGTTGTTAGTGTCTCTAATATGTCCTCTTCCAACCTGTCTCTCTGATATTATATAAGAAGAAAACCCCCTTGCTTTCTTATGAACCACACCTTACAATTTGCAAAGCACTTTCCTGTCCCAAAGGGCAAGCAATATTATCCCCACTTTACAGATGAGGCTCAGAGAGGTTAAGTGACTTGTTCAGGTGGCACAGCTGAGTGGAGAAGAAGGAATTGTGATTACTAACCCAGTAATCACACATGTAGCCCACACATGCAGGGACCAGTCTTGTGTAGCTCTCTGGGTTTGGAAATTTGAGCTGTCCATTGCAATGCACTGAACCCTTAAAAGAGTTTTGGGATGGTATTTATAATGATGGTGGTAACAGAATGAACTTTGCTTTCATTTTGGCTCTCTAGACCAGGTGGGAGTGGGGTAGGAGCAGGCTTCTTAATACTAAAGATAAAACCTGATTGAAATGATCGTGAAAGTCCTCTTTGTAAGCTGGAGGAGAGCTTTAAATACATAGCAAACTCTTGTTTACCTACACAGTTGAGAGAGTCCTATGTTTGCAAGATATGGTACCCATCTTCATTCCTTAATTCAACAAGTTTTTACTGGGCAGCTATCATGTGCCAGACACTGGGCTAAGTTTTGGGACTACGAGTCAAATAGACTGTCCCTGCCTACATAGAACGTATAGTTTCTCAGGGAAGGCAGATATCAATCAGATAATCACACACAAACATGTGATTACAAACTGTGATAACTGCTGAGGAGAAGGATGGGGTTTTATGAGAGCTCGGAAGTCTGAGGAAAGGTTTCCCAGATGAAGTGGCTGGTGAGCTGCACACACACATATACTCACACACCCCAGCCTGGAAGCATAAGGGACAGCAGTACTGGCAGACATGGAGATGTGCTTTCCCTGAGCTAGCAGTCTAACTGTGCTGGAGAAGCATAGATTCAGTGACCGAGCAAGGCAACGTACGAGAATCCAATCATTTCCATTGCTCCAGGGCTTCCCCAGCAGATTGGCTGAGGCTATGTCAGGCCTGCATCACAGTTCATCTATCTCTGGCCAGTCCTGCTTCCTCCCACTTCCTCTTGCAGGAATTGATCCCTAATATCCATCTTGCACCTCACACTCCATTTCAGTGTCAGTGGTAAGATGGGACAGCTTCCCAGGCCAGGGACTGCGGTAGACCTAGAGGTCTGAGAAACTCCAGGAAGGCCAGGGTGACCACATGGCAAACAGTGAGGGAGGACAAGCCTGGAAAACAGAGGTCAGAGAGATAAGCAAGCCAGGTCTGGAATATAAGAATTTTGGTCTTTATCCTAAGAATAATTGGAGTCTTCAGAAGGCTTAAAGTAGGGAAGTGAGATGATCAGATTTATGTTTTAAATTCTGCCGCATGGAGGCTGGCTTGGAGAGGGACAATGGAGGGTTCAGGAGGATGAATTGTGGCACCAACAAGGTCTGATGTTGGCCTTCACAAGGGTGTGGGTTCTGGGAAGTGCATAGGCTCTTCTGTATCCCCAGCACCTAGCTTATTACCTGGCACACAGATTCTCAGTAAATTTTTGTTGAATGAATGAGGAAGTAGATTCTATGAGGTCCATGCTCTCATAGAGCAGTGTTTGCAGTCCAGCAGGAGATGGGTGGTGTGTGGTAAGCATAGTGAGGGCAGTCCCCAAGAGTTTAGATGAGCTGGTGCTTGGAAGCAGGAAGGGCCATTCATAAATAACCAGAGGGTCAAAGATTCAGATCCCCACACCGGCCAGCTGCCAAACAAAACAAAACAAAACCACAGAGCAGAACAGAGAGTGAGAGGCGCTTCTGAGAAGAACAAGTGGGCACTGTGGGGCTGCAGGAGGGACAGATAACCTCCCAGAATGCCAAGTCATGCTTGGGCTGGGTGCTTGGGTGACTCTTTCAAAGGTAACTCTTAGTCCCGTGCTACCAAGGACACTTGGGGAGCCTGGTAGAAGTTAGTGCTCTCAGTAATTAAATGCCTTGGCTCATGGTCTAGGTCTGTGACTGTAAAGTGTTGTCCAATGATCACCTGAGTGTTTGCTTAAAATGCATATTCCAGAGACTTGCCTCAGACTTACTGGTTCTGAAATTCCAGGGGTGGGTTGGGTCAGGAATTCTCCTTTAGTTAGGATTCTGACATGCACTAAAATTTGAGAACCACAGCTGCAGGACTAGGCTGGGCATGTCAAGGTTGGAAAAGTCCAGACAAGGGAGGTCTGAATTCTAATTCCAAAGTTGTCATTAATCCCGTGTGTGACCCTGAGCCAGTTCTATCCCCCTGTTCAGTCTTAGCCTCATCATCTGCAGAACTACCTGCATTTCTACCTGATTTCTGAGGTACTTACTCTTTTGAGAAGCTTGAACACAAGACAGCCTCCTCTTCCAGCCTGACTCCTTTAGTCAAAGCTGCAGCTTCTACTCACTGAGCCTCGGTTTCCA